TTTTAATGTTAGACAGTCCTGGAGAGCCCAGCTGAAAATCACGTCTCTTTCTCCAGAGGAAACAACTCTAGGCCTTCCTGAGTTGGCATTTAGCAGGAGTGAGCAGCACATACCCTTTGGTGACCTTCTGGGCACGTTGCAAAGACCATCTGTTTGAGGGGCTTCACAGAAAGTTCCAACTTCTTCTCCCCTGCAATGATAAAGAGCTGGAAAGGAGCTCGTGCAGGTGTTGGCTGCAGCAATCACCTCCGCACTGCCAGAGCTGGAGCTGTCATGGGCAGAGCTTGGCATGGCCCAGAGCCCTGGCAGGGGTGACTTCTGCTTTTAGGTTTGGGGTTTTTTTTCAAGTCTCAGTAAATAACTCTCATAAAACAGACAGTGCAGCAGCAATCCAAGTAAAACATAGCTTCAGGTGCTCACATTTTACAGTTTGAGGTGGGGCTGGCAAGGGCTGCCCCTCCCCACCTGCTCTCCGGGTTAAGCAGCAGCCAGTGAGACATAAAATGAAAAGTAAAACCTGAACACACAAAATCCCTTCCCACAACAGCATCAAAGGAAGATAGATCTCCAAATCACAACAAGCAAATAGGAAAGAAAATCAACACCTCAGGGCATGGAGGTGGGAGAAGAGACTTCAGAAGGGAGGGTGAGAGCAGAACCAACTCTGCCAAGGATGACTTCATTTCAGCAGCCCTGCTCCCTCCGCTGAGCAGCCCAGAACAGCAGAGACACACACCTGAATGTGGAGTTTCAGCTAAGACAAACCTCCTCAAGCTGGGAGACACCCATGCTTGAAAAGGTGATAAGCAGAGAGAAGGCTTATGGTTTTCAAGGAGCATGAGCCTGTAATTCTCAGCCTGAGGAATAATGAAAAGGGGATGGGTATTCCTCTCCTGGGCATGGTTAGTCCCCACTGGGAGGAGAGGCAAGAATGAATTTTTTTAGGAGTCAAAGTGCAGCCTGAGCAACCACTATTGCAGCAGCAGCACAAAGAACCTTTTAGCTGTGTGAGTGGTGAGTTTTCATGAGTGCAGCTCAGGGGCAGCTGGCAGTTCTCAGGGGCTGTTTCAGACACAGGCACTGAACACCCAGTCTCTGCAGCCCCCCTGTGCTCAGCAGCCACCACACAGCCCTGGTACCACCACAGCCATACAGGTTTCTGATAAGTAAATGAGTCAAACCTCCCATTTTGGGGCTTCAGGCTATGGCTTCATGGGCCAGGAAAGGATCCTTTTCCCTCAGGTCATGGCTCTTGAATACCTGAAGCTTCCTCCACCTTCCTCTGGTGCACTGGCTGACCACAGCTGAGTTCAAGCCAGCACCTGCATGGTCATGTTCTCCAAGGTAGGAAAGGCTTTTTCCTAGAACTGCACTTTTCAACCTGTAGATCCCTCTATTACTTCCGATAGCAACAACAAAGATAAACAAGAGCAGTGAGCTATTGTCCTGCCTGCAAGTCAGTTACACAATGGTTGGCATCTCTGCTCCAGCTTTTTGGAAAAGGGAGAGAAAGAATCCACCAACCAAATCCTGCATCTTTCCAGGTACCTTCTCCACTGCAGACAGCAAACACTCCAGCCATGAGAGCAGAGTTGGCTGCCAGAGCACAGCCCAGCTCAGCCAGGTCTCCTGCAGGAGCCTGGAAACTGCTGCTGCAGGTGCCTCACGGCCACCCCTGCTCAGCACAGCTGGGTTGGGGAAGTTTCCTCTTCAGCCCTCTACGTAGCACCACCAAAGCCCTGCTGATCCATGAGGATCATGCCTGTTGCTCCAGCATTGCAGGGTGTTGTCCCTCCCTGCCTGCTGCAGCAAGGCAGGAGCTACACGAGCAGCACTTCTTAGCTCTGCCTGCAAAGTCTGCAAATAAATCCAGAGCTTTGGAATGACTATGGATGTTACAGAGCAAGAAGGAAGAGGGTGCATGGAAGAGGAAGGGGTGGGGTGCCAGGATGTGTGGTACAAATAAGATACTTGCACTTAAACAATGTTCAGTAGCTTCTGTGGCTAAATGATTCATCCCCAAGACCTTCAGGAGCTGTCCTGTGCCAGGTGCCAAGCAGCAGGCTGGAGCCCAGCTTCAGACTCACAGCTGCAGATGATACTTTCTTATTTCATTTTTTTTAAATCAAGTTTTTTTTTCTCTTCCCACAAACCTATTCCTCTGGATCTGTTCAGCTGCATTCTGAGAGTAGCTCTGAAAAGAAGAAATTCACACACATTTTCCTGTGCTGCTCCTCTCCCCCAGCATGGCAGGGCACACAAAGAACAAGTGCTGACATGCTTAACTAGTTGTATAAATAATATTTCCTCATAATCAAGCTAATTCATGTAGCACAGTTGTTCCTGGTTAGGCTCAAGAATGACTTTTCATGCATTATCAGTCAGATGCAGTTACACACTTCCATAGCAGTCTTTCAAAATTACAAGAGAAATTGAGAAACCAAGCAGAAGTAAGAGTCAGGGAGGAGTTTCACATCATGGTAGTGGGAACAGTCTGAAAAAAACACCATCTCCCAGGGATTTTTGTCTGTCAGGAGATGAGTGACCACTTCTGATTCAGCTTTACAGGGACTCAGGCAAAAGACTGTCAAGTTCTTACAAAGGCACAAAATCTTTTCCATTGTGATTTCTTTAATCTGTAAATTTGGTTAAATTGACATGTGTCCCACCTTGTGTTTATCAGCAGCCCCAGGCAGGAGAGGAAGGGGATGCACAAGACTGGCTGATGCCTCTGGCACTGGGCTCCATTTCTGTGTCCTGGCACACATCCCATTCAGATATTTAATCTCACTCAGCTCAGACTTGCTCTCAGCACACATAGTAAGGAAACTCATTAGAGGAATGTCAGTTGTTCCAGAAGCCCAAACACACCTCCTGCCCCTATTCACAGCAGCAGACAATTGCAGGGATCCTTCTGCTGCCCAAAGTTTGCCTTCAAGCTACAGCCTGAGAGAAACTGCAGCAGCTGGTGCCACTCTGCTGCAGTTTCACTGTCAAACCTTCAAAATAGATATTTATACCACACAAGTTTTGAAGAGGCTGGAATTGTACAAGACATTCTAGACAGGAAAATCGCCTTGAGGAGCTGCAAAGCTGTATTTCCTACCACAAGTACATCCTTGGCCTTTTAAAAAAAGCCTCTGAAAACTCTGTTCCTCAAGGCAAGGAAATAAACACCTTGAGTAGGTGAGGTGAAATGTGTCATCCTCTGCAGAGCATGTAACAGTCCCAGAGCAGAAAATACCTCTCAGCCACAGGAGCTGTTACCAGGAAACCAACCTCTTCCTTCTTCACCACGTCTCCCTAAATGCAAAGCCTGGATCAGGAGTGACACAAGGTACATAAAAAACCTCTGAAAAAAACAACACTGAATTCTAAGAAATTTCTACTTTTGTTGATCTAGCTACCTGCTCTCCCATCACTGCTTAAGCACTAGAAAAAAGACACTGGGTAAAAATGTCACCTTAAACAACAGGAAACAGAAAAATTACTGAATCTGAAAAACCATGATCTAAGAATGAAAGACCATTTAAATAAGCTGGAGTGACCACTGCAAAGAAGTCCAGGTTAGCAGCTGTTTCTCTACAGAAATGGAATAATTCAGTTTATTTATCCCACCTACCTCAAAAAAAACAAAAATGAAAACACTTCAGTGCTGTTGAGTTTCTTTTTAGGGTTTTAGGAAAGACCCAAGTGCTAGTACTAGAAATGAACTTCTTCAGAAGTTTAAGATTCAGGAACAGGTTTGAAAAAAACCAGCATGAAGAACAGCTGAATTACCAACTATTTCAGAACATCCTCTGCAACAGAAGTATCTCCAATCAAAATCAGTTTAATGCCTCCATTTGTTTTTTTTCACCCCAGAGTTTGAGATTTAAAAAAATTACCCATGTGAAAAAATGTTCATGCCAACCCCCTCTCATGGAATTACTACACAGTCACCTAATGGTGTCTGTAAACCCAGAGCACAACAAATGGATACTGATTCTCCCTCACCAAGATGAGAAATGCAGACACATGAACAACACCAGTTCTGGTTTGTTTTTTTTAAAGACTTTTCAACTTTTATAATAATTTTTTGCTACACAGGTAAGAAGATTTATACAATAACATTTTCAACTGAAAATACCTTTTCACAACAGTGGAGCAAGCAGTAACTGCCATGTGTGCATTTTCACAGTGCATCAAAATCTAGTACAAAGATAGACAATAACAAGATCAGACACTCTCCTCTGCTGTCCCATCTCATTCCATGGCAACAGAAGAGTTATTTTTGCAAATAAGTTCCCAAATCAAACCTCTACAGCTGATGGGGTCTGCATAGAAATCTCCATCCCTACCAGATGGTTACAAGACTATTTCAGCAAAGTTTCCTTAATAGTTCAACTATTTAACAGGTGGCCACTAAGATCTACCAGGTGTGCACCCAGGTACAGATGCCAGCACTGTAACAGAGTGAGCCCACATTCAAAGGTGTAGATCACCTCAAGTCTCTGCTACGCATCTGAAGATGGACACTGACCAATTGTGTCTGCTTTAATTCCTTTGGAACTGAGTTAGCACACGTGAGGGAGGCACATGCCACAAGCTGCTAGCAGCCTTTGAGCATAGGCTGGAACACACATGGGTAATACTGATACTCCTACTGCCTCCCCCCAGCTAAACCAGACTTACAAGTAGGAAAGAAGACCCTAATGCAGTCACTAATAAGCTCACTTTTACAGGCTGACTCCAGATGCCACCTTCCTCCAGCACAACACAGAAGAACAGACTGGTTCTTCCCACAGCAAGAAGAGGCAGAGTAATTTTCAGCAGAGGTCCATTCCTGTGGGCACACGGCTGGCGTGCCTGCTCCTGCCCCCTTTCCTTCCAAAGGGAACTGTGGTCTGTCTGTTGCTGAGTCTCATCATCTTTTACCGAACGCAAAAGTTACCCCTCCCTTCCGAGAACAATGGCTTCAGTAGAAATTAAACCCAAAAATTCCAGGCCCAGCACACCAGTCACTGCTTTGCCTTTTTCACGATGGTGCCAACAGCTGATATGACTGTAGTTTTGGATCCGCTCGCGCTGGTTGTCACTGTGACAACCCCTGGCAGTGTTGCAGTAGTGGTGAGGATGGTGGGCTGAGCTATCGTTGTTACAGGGATGGCCGAGTCCCACTTGCTCTTCCTCTTCTGGGCATCTGTGAATTTGACCAGATCAAACAAAGGAGGATTAGGATTATGCTAAAAGTCACCAGTCCCCTTGTAGCCCCTTGTCTTGCCAACCCCACTGCTTGACTAGGCAACCTGCCCTCACATTAATTCCTGCATACGCAGGCAGCAAATCTTGAGGAGCAAAGACAACTTTATACCTCAAGAGTCAAAGCAAAACTCAACACCTGAACTCCAGCCAAATGGGAGACAGGTCCACTCCCTGCCCCAAAGCATATTGCATTTTAACAGAGCACACAGTTGCTCAGGCACAGGACACACTCATCAGCCTCCAGTGTTTTTCTCCCCTTTCCTCTCCATTTCAAAGGCAGGAGAATGATTTTCAGTCCTTCCAAATCTCTTGGATGGATCAGTCCCATAAACACCCTAAAAATCATAAACATCAGCAGGTTTCTTGACCCACTAATAAACTTCTTCACTATCCAACCCATCTCCTAAGCTTTCACTGCAGAAGGACAGCCACAGGATGCAGGGACTAGAGAAAAGCTGGTCCATCAACTCCTGGCAGGGACACTGAATTCACATTATATACACAGTCAATAAGGACTCTTCAGAGTTTCCAGGAATGACTAATCCCAGCTCTGCTACAGCTTAATAGGTACAATCCCAACTGTTCTTTACCTCCCACAGTGGTGCTGGCTGTTGTGGTTGTTGTAGAAGTGGCACTTGTTGTTGTACCCTTTTTAGTGCCAGTCACAAACTCAATCTGGGAAGGGAGAGACACAGAGGAGAAAGGGGAGAAGACAAAAATAGGTTATTATACAGTCTTTTTTAACCCACATTGCTGCTCTGAGAACAGCTTTAGTGTCATGTGAGACTGGCCTCCAAGCTGACTGTCATGCAGCAGGATTAGATGTAGACCTCAGACCAAAGTGTACTGGGGTCATGAACATTAAGGACTCCTGCAAACCCAGCTCCTAAGTCCAATACAGTAAAAATGTGTTCATTTGTATAAAAAATTTGAATATAACTCAGAAAAGATAGATCCTGGCTATTAAAGAACATATTTATAAAGTTATTGTTCTTTTTCTCCTTTAAGAAACATGCAAGACAAGTCCCTGCCTGCATGATTCACTGCATCAGAGGAGGAAACCTAGCAACAAGGGCTACACCAGCATGCAGCCTCAGACTTCCAAAACTGCACATACGGGCTAGGACGTAACCAGATACCTGGGTTACTGTTCACAAAACAAAACAAGGAGCAAGACACAACATGCACGCAGGGAAAAAGTACCCCTGCACACTGACTCTGGAAGGAGCCTTCTGCAAGGTTAGATGGCCATCTCCAACATTAGACAGTCTTCTAATGCCAGCCACTGGCTTAAAGGTAACACCACTGAAGCACAGGAATCAGATCTTCCAAAGCCTGTGTTCTCTTTGGGGGGTACATAATACTGTACATTTTGCAACAAGCCCAGCTGAAGTTAAACTAGGCCCAACATTTCTGGATGTTCATGCAAAAAGGCAATATCATGAACAGAAAACAGATATTGTGTCAAAAGGAGATATGGTGGGGCAATTAAGCTATAAGTAGGCTATGCCACCAGGCAAAATGTCACAGATTAAGAAAAAAGCTATTTGTGCATTCTATTGCCTGTATCTGGCTTATTGAATACTATTTAAGGAGCTCTGGTTTAAAAATACTGACACACCAGAAGGAAGTTCAGTGGAATAAACATCTTAGAGAAAGGGACCTATAAGAAAGGACAAAGAACTTGATCTGTGCAGCTTGGAAAAAGCCATGCAAAAAGAAAGGTCAGAAACAAGGCAAAACCAGAAAGGATTAGCACAGAGCACAGTTCCTAAGAAACAGCAAAGCAAGGCAATTAAACTCAGCAGGGAAGCAAACAAAAGCCCTGCTTGTCTGTATCTTGAGTACCTTGGTGCGTTCCTTCTTGGCCTTCTCCAGTTTGTCCATTTCAATCTTCTGGGCTTTAGCTGAGAGAGATTAGAAGTTACAAGAAGCACCAGGAACAGTAAAAATGCATCATTCTCTCTCACTCACACACTTCCCATCATAAACAATCAAAAACTTCACATTTTTGTATAGGAAAATTTGTAAAATGCCATGAAACCAGCTACTGCTTTTTAATCAAGGCATCACAGGACTAAATTAATGACTTGACAGATGAAAACCCTGTAGAACCAATTTCAATGAAAGGGCTTTCCAGACTGATGAAGCATCAATAACATTCAGGCACATCCAACCAGAATGAAGTGGTTAAAGAGCAGCATGTGATGATTTCTCATTTAGAAAGGAAGTGAAGACTCTAGTGCAGTTAATTAACTACAAAACACAAAGAGCTAAGTTAGGACAAAAAAACCTCCAAAAACCCAAGACTTCCTGGAATTACCTAGTGCTTCATAATAGGAATCCTCTGACCAGCCATGAGGATCAAACATGTCCTGAAGAAAAACAATTAGGATTAGGGATTAGGGCTAGTTCCACATGTACACAAAAGCCAGTTCAAAAATGTTTTCTGTATTTCTGTTCAGTAATGAAATTAATTTCTGATTTCTTTTTGTATCCCAGTGACATGAAGATCACATCAGACCTTCTTTTGTAGGGCCATGTTGTGTTGTGAACGAAGCAGCAGCTCTGAAGCCAACAGGATAATGGGATAATCATGCATTTTTCTGCTGCTCAGCTGTTATTCCCCCCATGGAGTTTCAGGTGTATCTAAACACTTCAGCAGCTTTTGTTCAGAATCATTATAGCAAAGCTGGAGGCACTGAGGCTCACTTAGTACCACATAAAAATGGTCACTTCAATGCAAAGGATCAGACTAAAGTTCCCTTAAAGGGCCTCTAAACAAGCCAGCTCAAGAATACCTGAGGTAAGACCTTGCACCCCTATATAAACATTTACCCACTACCTTGCCAGTCAGAAGTATTGCACCTCACCTTTGGGTAATTTGTCCCAAGTTCATCAATTGAACAAAACTGGATCAGCTTTTCATAGATGCTGCAAAGGAAAGGCAAGAGTTCAGAACAGAGTCACTGAGCCACAGCCCCCGTGTTTCAGATTTATAACTAGAAAGAGGTTATCAGCTCTTCACACTGCAAGAGCAAAATCAGAACCTGGGAAGCTACACTTCCTATGATGGATGTGGAATGCCATGAAACAAACACATTACTTTTCACTTCTACCAAATAAAGCTCCCAGCTCCAGAACAGACACATCTTCTAAAATATTTCATCCTGTACATTTAAAATTTAACCAACACACCAACACTAGTTGATGCCTCACAGAACATAGAGGAGAGTTTTACTGTTTCAGTTACAATCAAATTATGGCTCTGTCATTGTTGTAAGCAGCAGTACCTCTTGCTTAGAGCCCTGTTTCTGCTACAACTCCAGCAAAGCGGAAAATTCTTGGAATCTTCCCCAGGCTCACCTGGGGTTGCGGAACTCCTTTTTCCTCTGAATGATGTAGTTCATATCCATGCCCTCTTTTATTTTCCTCTCATAGAGCTTTTGAATTTTATCCTAAGGGAGAAAGATGATATGGTGAGCCAGTTCAAAAAGGAGGAGCACTCCAGCTGACTATCAAAAGTGTACATGTGGAAACAAGCCAACTGAACAAGTGACCTCCTTGCAGAGAGCAAGGATTCCACCTCTCCCCTAAGGCCAGACAGGCTGATCACTGCTTTCCAAAAGGACTGACAGATCTTGATATAAACATGATTTTTTTCCTTCCTTAGCAAGGTAGTGAAAGACCTTAAAAGTATTTTTACTCTGGTGATGCTGAAGGGTTAGCAAAAGCAGAAACTTTCAGGTGGAATATATACTCAAGTGATACTCCTGGGAGAATATTCTCAGTAATTTCCCTAATCTTTTTGGGACAAATTTCTCATGTACAAGAGGCACATGAAGTAAAACCAGAGGTTAGACTTTCAGTCTTTCAGAATGGGAGAGCTGAGTTAATTTTCCTTTGTTGCTTCTGGATAAGTCATTTTGTGTCTCCCTCTGTGAGGACAGTCAGCACCAACACAGAACTGACTATTGTCTAAGGGTTTGCTGATGCCTGGGATAAAAGAGGACTGTTAAGAGCTCCTATTTCATCAACTTTTAAAAAGACTTGATAAGATATATTTTCATCAGGTCCCCACAAAACTGGCAAGAAGAAATTACACAACCTCCACACCCAGCACACACATTGTGGTTTGAAGGAGTAACTGCAAAAATGTGAATCTGGGGAGCAAAAGTGATTGAATACATGATCTCTTCTGTCCCCTCCCCATGGAAGTAGCACTATGGTTCACAAAGTCCACAGATGGGGAACTACTTGATCAACTTTATAATAAGAAATACCCTTTTGGCAGAGTTCAAGATACAGTTTATTAGAGGAAGAATCTGACAAAAGGAAAGAGCAAATCAACAGTGAAAAGCCTAGAATATTTTGCATCTCTAAGGAACAACCCCATCTCCCTGCTCACAGTGCTCTAAGATGTGGTTTGACCTGCTAACAGAGGACAAGTTCTCCTTTGATTTAGCCTAGTAAGCTGCTCTCAAAGTGGGAGAAAATCTGCTTTATTCTGTCTGCTTTCCCAAGCTCTGTGCATTCCTCAGATCTAACACACTCGGATTCCTTGATGCCAGAACAGTAAGATTCTCCTGCAATGCAAGAGAAGGGATGGGTGTGCCCAGGTACCCTGTGTGGAGAAGAAAGCATGAGCTGGATAGTGAGTCATTCTGAATCACCACTTGTGGGGACCGACAGCCCCCCTGGCATCAGCCTGTGACACCACTGCACATCAGCACCTCACTTTACAGAGCATTCCAGAACCAATTCTTTACTTTTATTTCTACTGGACAGATAGCTGCAGTTACAACTCAAATGGGTTGTAGGAAACAGCAACCTCTGCTCTTTCATTTGCTCTCCATCAGGAGGGGGACAGAGCAGAAGGTTATTGCAAAGTTGGTCACTGCAATTACTTGGGTGTGCACCAGAGAAAACATGCATTTGTTTTCTTTTTCTGCCTCGAAGTGACTGGCCTTCCCTCTAAATGTTTATCATTTCGAGATATGTAGGTGGAACAGGAATCCAGTCAATACTCCCTCAGCTATTCCAGTTAGGGGATTCTCAGCCCTGTACAGAAAAACAATGATTTGTTTCTTCCTACAGAGCTGAATTTGCTGAGGTAAGAGGAGAGCAGCTTTCACAATAAACATTGCTTCTGTGTCACTGGTGGGATCAAGAGCCATTTAAAGCATAAGAGACCTACAGAGACTGGAAAACAGCTTTAAGCTACTTTGAGACTCCTCAACTAGAATTGCTGACAAGTCTAAGGCACTTTCACAGTGCATCCACAAACTCAGGGTGGTAAAACCCCAGTTTTTATGCTGGATTTTTGACCTGTGCAAAAATACCAAGCAGAGCTCTCAAATATCCCCTTCCCTACTGAAATGCAAGCCTTTTAGAAAAATAAGGTGGAAGTGGACTGATACCAACCTGCAAGTGGTTAGAACATCTGCCAGGAGGCTCAGGAGGGATTTTGATCTCATCTGGAGACATGTTCCGCACTCGCTCTGAAAAAGAAGCTGTAGAGAGCAAACTGGGTGTGAGTTCTGGCAATACTGAAGGGAATTCAAGTTGTGCAAGTCATTAAAATTGTTTTATGTCCTTGCTAGTGCTACTCCAGCACTAAGAAACAATGGGTAAAGGTAAGAGGGGAAAGCTGTCAACTGGTATTTGTGGTGTTTTCAGAGTGCTAAGCAAGAAGCAGTTTAACCCAAAGATTAAATGGCAGAGGGAGGTGATGCCTGTTTTAACCATGTTAACCTTCTTCTGTGGTTCTGTGTCATACCCATGCTTAAAAGCTTTATTTTCACAGGTCTCTTTACCCCAGAGTAGGAATGCAAAAAGCAAAGCTACTCCTGGCTCCAGCTGCAATTGTTGACAAGATCCTTTGAGGATCTTGATAGGATATGTAGAGGAAAAGAGTTTGGTTCGTGGAATCTCTCTCTCAAACACTGTACTGGGCACCACCTACTGACCTCTCCACTAGTCCAGGTATTTCAGATGAGCTTTTAAGTCCTGCTCTGAATAGCTCAGATAACCTGGAGCCACTGACAAAACTCATGCCAGGATATTCTCATTGAGACAAACAGACTGTGCACATGGAGGATGATGGGATCAATCTGAAGCAGCCTGGCTCACTGCCAGTTTTTGGCAGGTAATCACTTTGCATCCTATTTATTCAAAAGACCTACCTACATGAACCAAAACGGTTCAAGAAGAGAACAACCCTCCCCAAGGCTGTCAGGAGTTAACCACAAGAAATTACATTTCATCCTTAAGTTAACATTTCCTTAACAGGAACTTTGATCTCTGCTTAGCGAGTATGAATATTGCTAGAAAGAACAACTCGTTCGGCAGGACTGAGAACAGACAGTTCAGGTTGCAAGATTTCTATAGCTGTTTGTGTTGGGATACATTATTAGAGAACCTTATTGCCTTGTAGAGATTAGTTTACTGAGTTAACAGTGAAAACAACTGCAATGTTTGTTTCCTGCTTCCCCATTCAGGTGTGGGAAACCCAGGCAGTTTTCTAGCCGAGTCCCGAAGCAGAGATTTGTGCCACATTTAAACAGCTTGGGATGGTTTTCAACTGTAATTTGTACAAGGAACATATCCCAGTGTCATTGTAGTGGATCAAAGAATCCTGACAGCAGCACAGAAGTCACATCAAGAAAGCCATCCACATTTGTGGCTCCTCAATTATATACTCCTCAGGAAAAGCTGCCTGAACAGCAGTTTCAGCACACAAGCTCCTCTGAACCCCAGAAGGGCCTGATGGACAGACACAAGTGTTTGAACACAGCCCTGCCTTCCAGCACAGAGCACTGGACAGCTGAGCTTACAATCAACACTACACATGTTCTGCTACTACAGTTTCTAGTCCTTTTGTACAACTGTAAAGCACTAAGGACAATATCCTTTGGAGAAGCAGAGCTGGCAGGCGACCACTCTTGGATTTGAACAAAATGTTGCCAAGGGTTAAATTCTTCAGCAGTTGCTAGTAACTAACAAAGTGTCCTTTGGCATTTACTCAGAGGGTGCCTCTGTGGAGGAAGGAAAGCTTGCCAGAGCCCCTAGAGAAAGGAAGGCAAACTGGAGCTCCAGGACAACAAGGCAGACAATTGTTACAGGTTAGAGCTGCTGGTGGGATGGGGAAGCCTCTAGTTTAATTAAGAGTTTCAGGAACCCTGAGGAGACAGTAGCAAATCAATGTGTGCATAATAGATGGAATACTGGACTTTCTGGAGAAGGTGAAAGCTGATTAATGGCTTGAGAGATTCACAGCATCAACAGAAACATTTAAAAGGAAAAATGGCCACCAAATCTTAAGACTTCCAAAGACAAAAATAAATAAATAAATAAATCAAGCCTGGCTCCAAGCCAGACACCCCACAGGCTCCTTATCTTTGCAGATTAACAGAAGAGCCACAGAGAAACAGAACATTTATGGGAAAGGGCTCATTGTGGGCTCATATAAACTCAGGAACTATGGGCAAGAACTCTTGTCTAGCCATTGAAGAGGTCACAACATCATAAGAGTATGTTCAGCAATCAATCCTAAGCTCCCCTGAAACAGAAGTAACACTGGGGGCAGAACAAGGACTTCCAATGACACAACACATCTTGACCCATGGCTTTTCAGGTTTTCGAGCTCTTTGCTCTTTTGTCTGAGCAAAACAAAACGGTTGTTTGTGAAAACAATCATTTGTCAACATTATACTGATGGGGGATGGAAGGCATCTCTTAATGGCTTACAAAGAACAGGCACTAAGACATCTTTGTCTACTGCAGTCCCACCATAGCTGCATGCAGCTGAAGACCAAGTCAGCAGAAAGGCTACGTGCAGCTCAGACTGAGCATGAAGACTCATCATTACTCACTTATTTCATCATACTGCAGCCAGACTCAGATGCCACACCATTAGGAAGAAAAGGATGAGTTTAACCCCTTCAGGCTTATTTACAGTAAGGAAATTGCAAATAATCCATGCCCTCGAGCAGCCATAGAATGGGTTGGGTTGGAAAGGACTTTAAAGATCCTCTAGTTCCAACCTCCCTGCATGGGCAAACATCTCCCACTAGACCAGGTTGCTCCTCTAACTTCTTCCCCAAACAGACAGCAGAATGGCCTATCTCATGACCTCTTCCCATGGA